TGCATCATATTTGCTGTGCTGAATTATGTAGAACCCGATAGAAACCAAGCTTCGTCTTCTCATACAGGTGGAGAAGCACGTGTGCCGAATAAGAACAAGCAAAGAAGTCCAGCGAGGTCGGGTGACGATGGACCGGAGCAAGCGGATTCGTCAAGAAGTGTGGAAAGACGCAACACCGAGCATGACACTACGAATCGTACGTTGTTCATTTTATGATATATATACTGCATACATTTTGCGTCAAACCCGTATCATATACTGTATAATATGCGTCGGTGATTGCTTTATCTAGAAATGATGCTGACGAGGCAAATACGTATCGTGACGATGACTGCAACTACCAATGCTGGGCTCTGATGATGAATCCGAAGAAGGCGACTTGAATGATCTGGATGGAAGTGACTGTGAAAATTCAATTGCAGACACTGATGGCGAGGATGATGACGAAGGCTTTGCCGCCGAAGGATGCCATTTTTCATACCATTTCTTGGAGAAAACGGGTGGTGAAAAAAAAAAAACGTTTTGGCTGGTGAAATCCTCAGTCCTGCCTTGAAGGATATATCAACAGCTGGGTGGAATGAAACAGTAAGTCCTGATGTTGATGATTTTTTGCATACACCTTACACCCCAGTTATGGATGGCGACGGGTATCCAGATCTCTTGAAGATTCAGCACGGACCAACAGAAGCGGCGCTGAAGAAAGGTGGCTCTTCATTAGCACTTTTCATCTTCTTGTTTTTATGCCGGTGACAATGTGGCAGCACATTTCCGAGTGCAGCAATTTCTACATGCAATAGCAGCTTGACAAGAGGGTGGACGAGTATTTTCACAAGAAAGAGGTAAGGGAACGTCGGGCCAAGGTATCTGGGAAGCCTGTGACGCCAACCAAGAAGATAAAGACTCGCCGAGATTTACGATAAGATTCCCTTTCAGCGAAGCCCATTTTTACCGCACGAGCTCTGTGTGTACATAGGACGTCTCGTCGCTCGGACGGTAATGCCTAATCGTGAGAAATTGGCTAACCATTGGTGACAATCTCCTAGTAACCTTTTGCTTAGCTAATTTCTAACTCTTTCTATTGTTATTGGTAACGCCTGCTGTCCATTTAGCGATATCGGTGTTGGTGTGTACTCATAAGGACGATTCTTCTACCATGCCGACGCGTAATGTAGTGGTGCTTGATGAAGAGAAAGACCGCCATCCCAATACGATACATTTTGCCAAGGTGAAAAGTCTCGTGAAAGTTAAAATAGCTAAAAACTTTTTATCAAATTTTAAAATTATCCCGTTGGAGAAGAAGATGCGACGAATAACAAGGCAACAGGCACAACTCCAGATACGGGAGTCCATAATGACGGGAGGTGCCATCAAGGTTTTAATGACACTACCAAGTACAAGCAAGCCGCTAACCGCGGGATGAGCATCGCCGATATCATAAGCAGAGATAGCACCGTTGTGTACAAAGCGATGGTGGAGGCGCTACCGCAATTGGAGGTGATATTCAAGGATGGTGGGGAACCTTTCATTGGTTGAGAACGACACTGAATTGGCTCGCTCTCTCAGCTGACGCATCCGGCTTCTATGCATGTGGATAACAACGAAAATGTTAAATTAGCTGGAGTGGAAAAAGAAGACCCAACTCATGAACGTGCCTACGAATCCGCTTAAGATCTGCCCTCAACGCAATTTACATCTGAGCTACCTTAAGTACCTGTGGGTACCTACAGGTACACTCGATTCATTACTCTGTACTAGAGACACTCGGTATGTTCCTCACGTCACCGATGCATTAGCCATTAATTCAAATTGCGCAGCTACAGCGATTTCCACTGCAGCACGATTGTCAAGCGGCGGCATATCAGTAGCAGCGCTTCGGAAACTTTGCAGCCTGGGTCTTTTGTGATAGCCAAAAGTGCTAAAAGCCATGGAAGACCGAACGTCAGGAAAACACAGAGATACGCAGAAGAAAAAACTGCGAGTGGCTCGCGGAAAAGAAACGGCCAACAAGCTGATTCAAGGAACGTTGGCCCCAGTCCCAAGTGTGCGAAACATTGCAAAAATGCTAGATAAGGACACCTACCCTCTGACGATGCGAAGCGAGCTCTATCCATTCAGTCGGCTCCAAAGACTAAGAAGGCAATTTATGGCATATAAACCCCGTCAGAGTGCAACAGCGACGTTCGGTTTGTCTTTCAGAAGCAATTTGTGGATAAAGCGCAGGCGGCAACCTCAGTTTTACGGGAATACCTCGTTCGGACGACAACCTTGGCGTATGAGTCACCCGCGTCGGTATCTTTCAAAACAAGGGCATTACTGCCATGGCCAGATGGCATACGACCATGGAGTATCTCGAAATGATAGAAGACACAATCAATTGGCTCTAAATGCGTGCACCAAATGCATCACAGTACCTGGTCAACTCTCCGATGGATCGAGCTGCGAGCCAAAAGAGCGGAAGATGCGATCAAGTGATTACTACTTCGTGGTGGACGCGAAACGCCATTCAGTAGCGCTACGTAGCACGCAATTCTGACACTGATGAAAAAAATTGAGCTCCTTTATTGGCTTATTCGTGATAACAGATGGAGATTCACAATCTTTTTGAATATATTACGATAATCAGGTCATTTATCATGATTATTAAAAAAAACTGTATTTGTTAGAAAAACGTTTAAATGGCATGTTTTGGGGGTATAGATCAGCCAACGGGTCAGTCACTGACATCGGAGTCCTCACAGCTTTCATGCTCACTATCTTCTGAATCGGATACGAGCTCACACTCGTCCGCCAACGGCAGGTACTTTTGCTCGTACGCTTGAGCGCATCTGTCCAGGTATCTGAGACTAGTGATGCAAACCCAGCGTCAATCTGCGAACGAAGCTCCGCCATATCGGAATATCGGAAGCAGGGTCGTCCGCGATACCGCCCTTAATGTTAGCCCAAATAAGCCCAATGGGCTGTAGTTCGGGATGGTATGGCGGAGTATAATGGCTGAATGACAGCTGCATAGGGCACGACATTGCGCTACTCCATCGCGAGCATCCCAATGTTGGGATCGTCAACCCAATATTCAGTCGCTCCCACGCGAGAGAGGCTCAACCCACATCAGATAACGATGGTAATCCCTTCAAGGGCACAAACGAGATTATCCTGCTACATCTGCACGTCTGCCATTTGTGTGGTGCCGTGCTCGACTTTCGGAGTGAAAGTAGAGGCATCCTGCTCTTCGACCCGTTGCAAGCAGCCAAGTCAAAATACGACAACGAATGTGAAGAGCTCATGCGAAGCCTGCTTGGCGAGATGCGTGCACTCATGCAGATCAAGAGACAAACAAGTACGCGCCAACCAGATTTATCAAGCTGCCGCTAAGCAGTTCTCAAGTTCTATGAGTGTTATATTTACGGAATTTCAGTGCCGGCAAAGCCTAGGCAGGCTCTATTGAGATTCTAAGACTCCGGTGCATGTTGAAGTGTCTACCGTAGGAGCTTTTAATGTCATATATACTACGTATTTTTTTCACAGTGTTCTCTGCCCTCTCTAATAAACGGCGTTCAAATATCGGAGACGAAAGTAGCTCAAGGAGGCGGGAGGGGGGGGGGGCACACCGTTCGGCACCGGCGTAGCTTGAGCTCGTTAAGCTCGCACTATGCCGGAACCCATAAAAGGTGCAATCTATACGACCTGCTAGTGTATATTTGGGGACAGCTGGTATGCATATGATAAAGTGTTAATGCCCTATAATAGCCCCGGGATGTCATCCCGGGAGTGGATGTGTATACGCTATGCCGGATCCGGCTAGTGTGAATCGGCCCAATATGCATCAAGAACTCCCCATCACCTCACAAAACATCTGTATCGTACTGTGTACTCCCAACATCTGCGTCGCATTCGCTGCTGGTCAGTGAACCATCAGCTGTCAGCTAGCTGAGCACGCGGCCAAAGCGAGGTTTCGCCACCTTCAGACTCAAGATTGAAGGAAATCGCAAGTGCTAAGGCACTATCACTGTGCTGCGCCTAGCAAAGTGTAGCCGCCATTTTACTAAGTCGTTCTTACTTTCAGACAGCCCACAAAAAGTACACCACCACATTCAAGCGACACAGTTATTAAGTATGTCGTAGCCAATGAAATGCTGCATCAAGCCAGTAAAATCTCGACAATTGTTAAAATTTCAAAATCTATTCTGGTTAGGTTGCCATATCTTAGCCCTTTTTTCTGCATTCGGTAGATAGTTTGTGTCTATAGCAGAGGTCGCAAAACGTAATTTTCCGGTTAGCCGTACCCGTCCGAAAGCCCTGTTCGGATGACCATGGCCAACCGTACGGACCGTTCGGACTACCATGGCTGGCCGAAATTAGCGATCGGTTAGCCGAAAATTACGTGTAATTTATGGAAAGAATAAAAAAGGTGAAACACCATTTTCTTATTCAATATTTCCGCTCAAAATAAGCTGGCAACCTTCTCTCGGTTAATGGCGCGATCCATCGCCAACATTCTTAATAACGAAAAACATGCAAAAAAATCTTATCCTCTGACAACCATAACCAACCAATCCTGGAAGTCGGTTACCCGTACTCGTCCGAGGCTTACCGTCCGTGGTTACGGTTAGACATTACCCGAACGGGTACGGTTAACTATTTGTGACCTCTGGTCTAAAGTGCGCCACGTAACCTTAACTCCCATTTAAGTACGATCTGCTCGGTACAAGTCCATTACTGGTACAGTACTGCACCCCGCTTTCGCGAGGGTGGACCATATAGGATTTGCAAATAAATTAGACTTAAGCGTACAAAAGTTTGTTTATTTGAAAAAAGAATCATCACATCTGATAGTTTATCAAAGGTCCAAGGGCGCGAAAACGGGGTGCAGTATTGTACCAATAAATCGCTCTTTGCTCGACAATAAAGACGAAACGCTATTGGCTGTAACTCGGGACTATTTGCCCTTACCTCTGGAGGAGCTCCAGCAATGCAATTTCACACTCGCCACTAGCGACGAGTGACGCTGCCATACCCGCCTTCTGTCTGTCAGCCGTTAGACGCGCAAAGAGTTGGTTATCCTCCTGCTTCCTAACGGATGATGCGAGACGTGAGCGCTCGTTTCAAGTACAGCGAGCGCGAGTTCCGGGCGCAGCAGCAGCACAAGGCCGCAAGTCTCAGCGGCAACAGCAGCGGCGATGACTCGGAAAATAAGCCGCCGCCTGCAGACGCTAATGCCGCTCATAGCACCTGCGAAGGCATGACCGATGCCTGTCCGTCTCGCGAGCTCATCCACAGCCACATTCGAAGATACTATCGCGAAGTAGACACTACCGCCAAGGCCGCGGCTGATTGGGACTCCGTAAGTGCTCGCATCCGCAAAGACCTTGCCCCCTTTACAGTGCTTAAACTAGGCGGCTTCTCGCTGGGCGACGCCTGTACCCGAGTGCTGGGAGACGTACTGGCTCATGGCGCCTCTAGATTGCGCACGCTGGATCTCGGCTTCAACCGACTGACAGACACGGGTGCGACACACTTGGCTGAGGCGCTAGAGACCAACACGTCACTCGAGAGTTTGTATCTTTCCGGAAATGAAATCGGACCAGCAGGAGCGCGAGCGCTGGCACAGGCGCTGATAAAGAACACGCATCTACGCAGTCTGCACCTTAGTGGGAATAATATTGGCGAAGAAGGCGCTCGTGTTTTGGCAGATGGAATTGCAGGCAACACATCACTCAGAGCGCTCTATATGGGCACGAACGGCATCGGTGCCACCGGAATGCAGAGTCTAGCTACAGCCTTAACACATAACAAGTCCCTGGAGGAGCTTACGCTGGGACAGAACAAAGTGGGAAGTGCAGGAGTGCGGCATTTAGCTGCCGCGTTCGCTACAGGCCACGTAGCGCTGTCAACGTTAGAGCTCGGAAAGAACGGTGTGGATCAGGAGGGCGCTATTGCACTAGCACGCTCTCTGTGCGGTGCGAATCGTCTGCAAAACTTGTACATGGATCACAATCCACTGGGAGACGTGGGTGCCAGTGCGTTCGGAGCGCTACTCGCCCAAAATACAGAGCTTCGTGTACTCGACTTGAGCTACACGCACATGTCGTTGCTGGGCCTGCGAGAGCTCAGTGTCGTGGGGCTGGCACGTAGTCGTGTGTTGCTGTGTCTGCTCGTGGATGGTCACGATTGGGCGAGCACTCAATACATGAAAAAGAACCAGCATCCGAGTCTAAATGGTGCATCATTAGCCACCAAGGGCGCCAACAACTACGCTGCGTCCTGTATTGCCGGTGCAATCAACGCAAATGCTCACTCGGTGCTGTTCAAGCTGACAGGTGTGGATCTAAGTCTCGTGGTTGTAGTACCAGCATCTTCCGGGTCCAGTGACGGCAGAAGAGAATCGGATACGCTCTCCAGGAATGAATTGGTGTTGAAGAGTTTGCACGATGCGCGTGCTGCAGCACATAACGCAGCCGCTGCAGCAGGTATTCCCATAAGCCACAAACGAAAGCCCACAGAGGACGCAGGGAACGCATCAGCAGATAAGACGAGGACGACAGGTGGAGCGGATTTAGGGGCAGATAGCGATGCTGGTGAAACCTTGTCGACTGTGGTACAACACCCTAAGTTCCAGAAGCTTGAGGGCAATCTCAAAGCCGGCTCGTCATCTGGTAGTATTAGTAGTGCGAACGGAGGTGGAAGTGGCGGCGGTTCGCGTTCAGGAAGTGCCAATGCGCTGCTCGGATTGCTGCCCCCTCCTCACAACGGGCCTGGCAATGGTGCGTCCAGTTTGGCAGGTGGCAATGGAGCCAGCTCTCCATCCAAGACGACTAGCAACCGGCCGCCGCGTGTTATCCGAATCCCGTCGCGTGGATCGATGGGTCGCTTCCCGCGATCGGGTGGGTCTTGCGAGAAACGATTGTCACTCAAGAGTCCACGGTACGAGAGTACGATGGAGGTTCATGTCCGTAAGGTTATATCAGACATCGCTAAGTTGCCATTCAACGCTGACGAGTACGAAACGCTGCAGACATATTATCTGGGAGGCCGGTGCTGTACCGGGCCCAATGGATGCAGCAGCGACTGGGGCGTTGACGGTGTGACGGGCGAGCCCACGCCTTGTCCTGCTTGTCGATCGAGTCGCTTGGCGCGGTATAGCCGCACGATGGTAAGATCTTGAATCCTTTTTTGTATCTAGAATCGTGTTAAGACAGCGATCTAAAACTGTGAGTTGTGTGATTTATTGCAGGCCTTCAAAACACGACTCGAAACCTCGCGGCAAGCGACGGACACAGTGTTGTTGGTGCTGCTACGCCAGCTTCACTACCTCGTGGGCGCCTTCCAGAATGTGGAAAATGCTGCACAGACTATTGACGACATCCTCGTATCTGTTCACGAGGAGATAGACGAGCCGCTGCCTTCGCAAACGACAGCCAGCCAGCATGATAGTAAAACTGGGATGTCTGCTAGCGCCTCCTCACAGCACTAGTAGCTTTATCAGATATAGGCAGCCACAAGACAGCGATGCCCGATGGCATAGGAGAGTATTTATCAGTCCACCGCCCCCCCCCCTTTCTTCATTATAGTAGTATTAAGCCGTACCTGTACCAACAAAGACCACAAACGCAGATTCTCTCATGGTATCCTGTAGCATTCGCCACGTACGCGAGGAGACAACTTATTAAATGAGTAATGTTTCGTTTTCATATGACGAGTTGTTCCAGCGCTTAACTTACGTAGTTTACCAATTCATGAAACTTTGCCGAAATCCAGCGATGCTAGAATTTTTTTTCTTTAGGGCCTGTTATTGGCTCATTCGTTTCTTGAGAGCAAAAATAAAATGATTGGATTAGACAAAAAAATTGCGCTGCATGAATTGGTAAGGACGACCTTCGCGTCCAGGTTTTCCCGATAAAAAAAACTTAGGCCGTGTTCGGGTTGCAGGGGCAAATCCAGCTTGTTTGAAAATAAGTAGAACAGTCGTTTTGTTAAAATAAAGATAAAAATAAGTGATCGTGTTCCATCAGAAAAAGGCTGGGTTTGAAGGCGTCTGCGACCGCCAACCATTATACTCAGGTTGACAAAGAAAAAAAGACCAATCACCAGGGAAATATGGTAGACAGCGACCACGACGACGACGATGACCTGTGGCTCCTCCAAGCGCTTGCTAAAATAGAGGAGGCGGCAAATAGCACTCAAGGAGCCTATACCACGGCTATTGAGCACAGAGACCCCCCAGCCACGTTTTTTTCCAGTCAATGCACACCAGTCCTAATCCATTTATGTTCCGCGATCACTTCAGACTGGATAAAAGCTCCTACGACGCGTTATTTGCTTTGTGTGAGCCATTGCATTCCGAGGTTGAGTAACTGCTAATGAAGCCCAGTTTTCGTCAGTGAGTGTGGGAGCATTGATCTTGCTGTCCCAGCCAGCACCACTTAAGTCACATATTCTCTTGAATACATCGTATTTGTACATCAGTCTTGAGTATTTAGTTTTGCATTGGTTTGCCAAATACAATAATACGGTCAGTACAATAGTGTCGGACAACTGAAACCACTAACCTTTGTCAGCAGGGATTCCCTCTTTCGCTAGGCGCGTTACGATAAGCGCCCAGCCCTTTGACTTGACACCTTTGTCGCTTTTTAAAAAAGCATCGCTGCGCGCTGCAAGGTAGCACTTAAGCAGCGCCTTTTCATCCACACGCCTCCAGGTCGCCATTTGTTTCTTCGTCTTCTGCTCCATCCGTTGGTTTTAGAACTACTGTCACTGTTTTAAGGGGCAAAGGAGGACGAATCAAAATTCAACCCAGAGCTGAATTTTGAAACCAGTCGTTTGGAGCTATCCTGCTGGATGTCATTTTTTGTGTTTCTTAGCGGAATAAAGCTGGTTGAGACATTCCAGCTCTTTAATAACAATTACAGCTGGTTTTAGCTTATGTCACGGTGTACAGTTAGATGGTGGATTAACGATGCTGGCTGACTGCCTGCAGAAGGTCTACTCACTCCAGACGCTCCGGACCACGTCCAAGCAAGCGGGACCTGCGACCAAGACAGTGACGTTCCAAGTGTGAGGTCGTGAAGCAGCTGGTCGTGGCGGGAATTGGAGCTGGACCGCCACACACGAGGGATCTGCGGAAAGGTAAGGAGCTCTGAAAGCTCTTAGCGAGGTGAAATGAGGAGGTCAGTCGTGGATTTCCTTCTAACAAACAACACAAGAATATATCAACTTTTACATTACTATCCCAGTAGTGTCGCTAATACTACTACCTCCTACGTCGGCCCAAGATACTCACGACCCCGATAAGAGGAAGACCGCGACAATTTGGTGGAGAAGCAGGGTATCTTCTAGCCGAATTTTGTAGGCGTACAAGCGTGAGAAGAAGCCTTGGCAACGGAGTGTCAAGGAAGAAGGAGAGAGAAGTGGGAAAAGGATGAGTGCTCAAGGATGGTCCGGCGAGAGCTTTGGAGCCAGTGAAGGGGTAGGGGATGGACTCCTCCGTTGGAAACGGAGCCCGTGGAGATCCTCGAAGAAGAAGAGGAAGTGCGCGCTGAGAGAGCTGCTGACGGCGGCACGCCGCAGATACTTCAAGGAAGGGAGCGCCAGGGAGATGGCGGGGAACGTGGCACGCCGCAGCGAGCTGATCCCGAGACGGGAAGGCACGAGACACGAGCGGTACACGTGGAAGACGAGCACATGTTCGACGTGGTGTCTCCGTCTCCGGGAACGAGAAGGACGGTTGAATCTGTGTCTGGAACGCCTCAGGGTGGACAGATGTCTAACACAGTCCTTGAGCAGTGGGCACGCCAACCGGCGCCCAGCGAAGGAACGACGCCTGCAAGGACGACGACGGGTACGCTCTTTGACGCTTCGGTGATGGACTCGGGAGGTCGCCGCGAGGTGGGGTTCGCCTTGGATTGGACGTGTCCATCCTTGCAACCGATGAACAGCTCTAGAAGAGACGTGCCCCTGGTCACGTCAGCGTACGGACAACCCAACAACAGCGTGCCGGGCCAACAAGGAAGCAGAAGTGCTCCAGGTGTTGTTGCTAGAACATCTATGCGAGCGTACGTACCTGGTGGAAGTCGAGGAGCGACGCCTGTTCAATCGATGAGAACGCCGACGAGAGGAAGTGGAACGCCGACGACGGACCCAGCCTTACAGGCTCGCATCATGGACGGTCTCACCCAATTGCTACAGAGGGCTGGAGTGACGAATGGAACGCCGGTGCCGTCTCCAAGACCTCGCGCTACAGGACACGCGCCACGTACCGTGCCGACGCCGACCCGACCAGTGACGTCTTCAATGATGGGGTACCAAGGACCTATGACCCCGAGGATGAGGAATCAAACGCCGGTTTCGACACCTAGCCGAATGTCGATGGCTGCTATTCCTTCGTATGGAGGTGTGTCAATTCCAACGGCTGGTTCCACGTGAAACGGTGGAGGTGGTGGAACGCCCCAAAGGAGTGCGTTCTACCGACCCTTCCAACCGCCGATGACGTCGACACCTGGGTGGGCTACTGCCTGGAACGATACCCGCGTGGTCTGCAGCGTCTGCACGGCAGACATCTACCAGCGTTAGAAGTGGAACGTACGGATTGCCGTTCCAGAGAACGTCTCCAATGAATGTTGCGACGTTCCAGGGACGAGCAGGAGCGCTAGGACAAGAACGGAACGTGGGTTGCAGCGGGGCTGCCGTAGCTTTAGCGTCAGAGGAAGACGTTCGACTCAAAGAGTCACTAATATTAAGTTCCTTATCCAAAGGACACTTACAGCCCAAGACCAGGGCTCAAAGTTAATACCTTAACTTTTATGCTTCAAATCCAGAAGTGTTTTATTTACTATTATTGCGGCCAAGCCGCCTAGGGGTAAATATATCCGTTTAACTATCTAGCATAGTTAAATCTAATCAAATGCATAACGTGTGGCTTTCGGCCAACGTACTGAGAGACCTTGTTAGCTCTCCAACTTATGTACTGAGAGTTTGTTAACTCTCCGGGTACTTCGTACCCCTGTGTGTTCCACACCATGTAACCCCGCTACACTCTCCCCCACTAAGATGAGAACATTCCGTTCTCGAAACTCTCCTCAGCGAGGTCACGTCTTGTTAAGACGGCGGAGGTTACTACACCTCACACCAGCGTTGTACAGCTCCGTGAGCTCACAAACGCCTACGCATCGTTGATGCCCAACTTCTCGTCGACGGCCCAATGATCCCAGCGCAGCGCGCATCTTGCTCTCAAGCGGTCTCAGACCTAAGCTCGCGCTCCGCACCTACTCCAAGAGCTGCAAACCGCTTAGAGCAATGCTCTTGACTCATTCGAGTCGTCGACAACAGCTCAGCGGTTGAACACTCGCTTCACAAGCGATAGGTCGGTGGTTCGAACCCACCAGGGCACAGCCCTGTCGTTCCATGAACGATTGTCCACGTTTGGACAAGCTTAAGAGCAATCCGCTTTTAGCTCAGTGGTCGAGCGTTGGCTTTGGAAGCCACAGGTCGGGGGTTCGAACCCACCAGGGCACAGCCCTCTCGTTCCATGAACTGTTGTCCTTGAATGGACAAGCTTAAGGGCAACGCCCTTTCAGCTCAGTGGTCGAGCGCTGGCTTTGGAAGCCACAGGTCGGTGGTTCAAATCCACCCGGGCGCAGCCCTCTCATACCATGAGTAGTCCGTTCTCGGACTGGCGTACGGGCATCGCCCTTATAGCTCAATGGTAAAGCTCCGGCCTGTCAAGCCAAAGGCCAGTGGTTCGATCCCCGTCCGGGACACCACTTTCGCTGTTACAGCGCATCCACATTTGGATCATGCTCATCGAGCAAGTTGTTTCAAAACAACTATGCGTCTACCGAGACGCTTGTGCCTGAACCTCGTTCAGCACAACACGAAGCACCTGCTTCCTTCGGGCCCATGTCCCTAACACTACGAGGTCTCTCCACCTCCTGCTCCCGCTGCGAGCACCGCTCATACGTACGAGCTGCCTGCTGCAGCCACTGGATAGAACCTGAGCTCAACTACTGACCTGATCGCTCCCCACTCTAGTGGGAGGCACCCAGCGCCTGGCGACGCTGTCGCACGCCATGGTGGCGCCTTGGCACATGATGTGCCCGGTCGTAAGCGTCAACGACGTCAGGGCAATCTTGCCGGAGGATAACCTCAAACTCCCATGAGTTCTGTGAGTGAGGGTAACCCCTCCACTTCACGAAGTACTGGGTACGACCCTGGCGTCTACGCCACGCCACAAGGCGTTCCACGTGAAAGTGGAGCTCACCATGTTCATCGAGCAGAGCAGGAGGAGGCCTTGCCTCAGCTGGGCTCTCGCGGGGAGAGTCAGCACTTGCCGGAACGGCGTCTGCGTCCATACAACGCCGGCGTCCACGACGCGAACGTTCACGTTCACCGCCCATCGGTCGATCTCGAAGAGATGATCCACCTTGTGGATAGGTACCACTGTTGACTCACAACCAGGTCTCGGACCTTGAGCGTCCAGTCGCTCGGCTGAACACTCAGCTTGTCTTGCTCCTGCATCTCGAGCACTTCGCCCCGCGACCTATGGCTCTGCCACATGCTGTCGTTCAGCCTCCCGTGGCTCTACCACCTGCTGCCCTGCAGCTGTCCGTGGTCCAGCCACCGTTGGTGCCAACGCCTCCGCGCTTACCTGAGCAGGGTCTTGATATGGCTTAAGCAAGCCAACATAGAAGACCGGATGCGTGCGCATCTTTTTCGGAAGATTGAGCGTATACGCTAGGCCCTTCCTGGCCACGCCCTTGAACGGTCCTATGAACCGAGGTCTTAACTTCGTCTTGAAGACTGCAGACACTGCATGAGTAGGTAGGTTTTTAGCGTTTAATAAAGCTTGGTCACCGATCTCAAACCTCTCAACATTGCTTCTGCCCTTGGTATCTGCATGCTTCTTCTGCGTGTCTTGGCTTTCAGCCATAGCATCGCGTACTTGACGCATTACGCTCAGTCTCAAAGAGACAAAGTCATCGACTTGCTTGCGAACCGCAACAGGGCTGACATCAGCTAGCCGCTCGGCTATCTCTCCCCCATCAAGCCCTGAGCCACGGCGTGGCGGCGTCGGCGGGACGCGAGGGTTAGCCAAGCCGTTCACATAGAACGGAGTGTAGCCTGTCGAGGCGTGTACTGCATTATTTAATGCGAACTCAACGAGTGGGAGCATCTGGCTCCAGCGTTTTGGCGCCTCAGCGCATACGCTTCGGAGGATATCCTCCACAACGCGATTTACGCGTTCGGTTTGACCGTCGGTCTGCGGATGGTCCGCTGTGGACATGTCCAAGCGAGTGCCGCGCACTCTGAAGAGGGACGTCCAGAACTTCGCGGTGAAGCGCGGGTCTCGATCGGAGACAATTGCCTCAGGCAAGCCATGTTGGCGAAAGACTCGGTCTAAAAACAGCAAAGCTGTACCCTCACCATCAATGGTGTCCGGCACCGCCGCTAAATGAGCCATCTTGCTCAATCGGTCTACAAAGACCACAATACCCGTGTTTTCCGCCTTATCTTTGGGAAGGCCAAACACAAAGTCCATACTCATGGACTGCCAACATCCCTTGAGGACAGGCAAACTCGCCAATGGCGCTGCCGTGCTCGGCGCGGACTTTGTCCGTTGACACGTCTCACACGTGCGTACATAGGTGCCGACCCACTTATACATATTGGGCCACCAGTACATCGAGCTCACCGAGCCATAGGTCTTCTCCCGACCTAAGTGCCCGCCCACGGGCGTACCATGAACCTCATAGAGGATTCGATACTTTAGATCCTCATCATGAGGAACGACTACACGAGGGTTATCCTCAGAGTCGGTGCTGTAGTACAGCAGGCCGCCATCGAGTGAGTATCGATGCAGCCTCGCGCGTAAGCGCCCAGACAATTCCTTGTCAGAGTCTTTAAACTCTTGGCTCCCAAGAGCCCGTAGCAGCGCTACGCACATGTCGTCTTGTGCATACGCTCCGCGTATCAAGTCAGGCACTGACGACGTCACTGTCGTGACATGAGCTAACTCGTAGTCCGGCCTGCGCGAGAGCGCATCGGCCACTACATTAAGCCGCCCCGGCTTGTACTTCACCTCGAAGTTATACTCGGCAAAGAAGGAAAGCCATCTTGCCATTCTCTGAGAGGGATGAGGCGACTGTGTCGCAGTGCGTAACGACGCATGATCAGTAAAGATCACAAAAGGCTTAGAGCCTAGCAGATGTACCCTGAATTTGACTAGAGCATACTTCATTGCAAGTAGCTCTTTGTCATGAACTGGATAGCTCTTCTCTGTAGCTTTGAGCTGGCGAGACTCAAACGCGATCACGCGTTCACGCCCTTCGGCGTCTGCTTGTAGTAAAGCACAACCGATTGCAAAATCGGAGGCGTCACAGACGACGCTAAACGGACTAACCGGGTCCGGTAGCGCAAGGATCGGAGCCTGGAGGAGGCTCTCCTTCACAGCCTCAAAGGCTCCGTCGTGCTCGACGTTCCAGCACCATGGTGCGTCCTTCTTAAGGAGATCTGATAATGGCCGAGACATCTCCGCGTAATTCGCGCTGTACTTGTGCAAGTAATTGGCTAAGCCTAGCCACTTGCGTAAGTCGTTTTGGTTTTTGGGAACCGGCCAGTCCACGATGGCCTTGACTTTGGCAGGATCTGCCCTTAAGCCTCGCTTCCCAATGAAGCACCCGAGGAAAGGTATTTCCTCCGCGCCAAAGACGCACTTGTCCAAGTTGGCATACAACTTATTAGGGCGCATGCACTCGAGCACCGCTCGCAAGTGGTCAATGTGGGTTGTCACGTCTGACTTTCCGTGCTCAGCACGACTATGGACGAATATATCATCAAAGTACGTTTGAGCGTACGCCCGGTGGGGCCTAAACAACTGCGTCACAAGACGATTGAACGTTGCTGGTGCGTTCGACAGCCCCTGGGGCATCACCAGCCACTCCCAGAGCATACCGCTCGGAGTACTCACCGCTGTCAGCGGAATGTCGCTCGCTCGCATGAGCAATTGGTAGTAGCCATCGACCAAGTCGAGCGCGCTGTACAACGTACAGCCTACCATGTTGTTCTGCAGAACATCCTTGCGAGGAATCGGTGTTTGCGCCGGGATAGTGGCCGCATTTAGCTTGTTAAAAGCATGAACAATGCGCCACTTGCCGTTCGGCTTTCTGACACAGAACGTGGGTGTCGAGTGCGGAGACTTACGTTTACGCACCATCCCTGCCTCGTGCTTCGCACGGAAGAATGCGTCAATCACGTTGCACTGCTGTCTCGGCAAATCCATTGCCTTGTTACGCAGTATTTGGTTCCAGGAACCAGGTCAATCTCATGACACACGCCTCGATCCGGAGGCAGGCCCGTCGGTGGGTCTTTCGAGACAACGTCTTTATACTCCTTCACCACCGGGTAGAAGGGATCCGAAGGATCTTTGA